CTAGCTACAGGGATAGCAATCAGTTTCTTCAAAATTTACTGTTCTAAGCCCATTAGAGTTCCAGCGCAGCAAGACTCTTCAATGAAAATCTCAAACGCCTATATTTTCTTTAGGAGAATATATGCAAATGTTGTGAGCTGAACTCCTACCCTTTAGTGGTAGATGCTTTATCATCTGATTTATGTAAATTTGCTCATAAAAATACAGTTTATTTTTAATTGGTGAATATGAATTAGAAAATTAAGATTCTGGTTCAGCGTTCATCAAACATCCCTGGTTACAAGCACACATTTATTTAGACTTCTGATCGCATGGGTAGAAACCATATAATTGACCGGTCAATAAGAGCTGTGTTATAAAGAAAACCTTGGTTCCTACTAGAAATGACCAGGGTGTATTCGTTCTTCAGCTTTCTGAGTTTGCGCCTCCCCCATAACCTTGCACTGCACATGTTCTTGTCAGTATTACGAGCTACTTTAAACTACCTGCTCGAAGGTGGGTTTTCTTTAGAATTGCCTGCGGGAAGCTCTTCTGTCTGTTGCATTTTTGCCTTGGCCACGTACGTTTTTCAGAAAGTATTTCAGAACAGGAGAATGCATTAATGATTGTTTCCCCTGTAAACATAAAGGAGAAATGGACACTAGCAAGGGCAACAGGATTCTTAGAGCCTGTCATTACCTCCTAACAAAACAAAAATAAAACCCTCCTTCTTATCATAAAAAATATGCCCATGAAATCATGCAGTTGCAGTAGCCAACTCTAAAAATGAAGTGATGCTGACCTCACTGTGTTAGTTCCATGTGGGGATCGTGAATGGTCTAAAATATAGCGTTAGCCTCTAACATAGCTCGTACTAAGTCAACCAAATGTAGAGCCTACTTGCTAGGATATGTATCAAAATCAAAAGTGACATTTTCTGGAAGATACATTCTGGCTTTAAATCTGTGTTAAAATGTCTGTGCATGAGAACAGGCCCTTAAATGCAATGCTTGCCCCTCTCTTCATTCTTTCTGAATCTGAGCTTGTCAAGGATTATAGTGTGCAACCTCTGCTGACAGTAGATAAATAACTGACAGTGTTTTAGCAGAGTGGCTGGGTTCTCTGCAGAGTCATTTGTTTTCTCCTTTCTACCCAGTCTTTAATGTTTTGTTATAAACATCTATAGGCAAGGCACGGTTAATAGAAATGACTTATAGAGAAAGACCTGTGAAAAATAGATCCAATTGGCAATGCCTTTTTTTAAAAAACTATTTTCTTTCCAAACATTATGCAAATATTATAACATTGTACCAGTGCCAACCTTTATGTAAATGTTCTGTCTATTATAATGGGCACGAAAGACACACTGCTGGAGGGACAGGAAAAAAAAGTTTATAAGACACTGGAAGACAGCACTCTCAGAACTGTGGTTCTCAAACTGTTTGATCCCAGGACTCCTTCACACTCTTAAAAATTATTAGGACACCAAAAAACTTTTGCTTATTGGGGTTATACCTATCAGTATTTACTATGTTAGAAATTAAAACTCAGAAAAACAGTTTTAAAATCTACATTAAATCATTTAAAAGTAACAATGAAGAATAAAATATATGTTGACATTAATATAGTTTTATGAAAAATACATTTTACAAAACAAAATATTAGTGATAAAGGTGGCATTGTGTTACATTTTTGTATATCTCTTATGCATAAGTAGAAGAGAGTTGGATTTTTTTATTTGCTTAAGTATTCAATCTGTTGCAATATGTTGTTTTGGTGGAAGTTTACGAAGCAAATTCTGCCTCCCAAAGTGATCGAGTTGGAAAAGGAAGGAGTACTTTGTGACCGTTTCAGATTATTGTAGATATTCTTCTTTGATACTACGCCGGAACTTGACAAGGAGAGTTTCTTAAAGGTTAGTCGAAACCACTTAGTGACTCTTTATGCTCAGTGCAACAGATATTATCACTTGTTTTCCTTGGAGTGACAGGTCCCCATGGTTCATGTTTGAGGAGACGGCTGCCCAGTGCCCAAGTCTCATTAACCGTGGTTTGTCTATCCGTTGTTCCTTCAAGTAAAATTGGTGTTTCCTGAAAAAGGCAGCTGGTTTAGCTCACAGCTCAAAAAGCCAGGAGGGCTTTCCTCTGGACAGTCCTTGTACCTTGGTATGCAAAGGTGATTTGTGTGTATTTCTAATTTAATTACACAGAATCACAGGTCTCTTGAAGGGGTGAAATTTAATAAAAATAGTCATTTTAATGCTTCTTCAAGGACATTCTTCCATGAAGCTGACATGTTTTCCCTTTCACTGTGAGCACAGGTGGTTCCGAATGCAGTGCTGCTGGTTCAGTCCGGTGCTGCTGGTTCAGTCCGGAGCCACTGGTTCAGTCCGGTGCTGCTGGTTCAGTCTGGTTCAGTCCGGTGCTGCTGGTTCAGTCTGGAGCCGCTGGTTCAGTCTGGTGCTGCTGGTTCAGTCTGGAGCCGCTGGTTCAGTCTGGTGCTGCTGGTTCAGTCTGGTTCA